ATTTAATGTATAGGGGAGACAGTCTTGGGTTAATGGGAGGTGTGTCAATAGCTGCATTTTTAGGAGGTAGTCAAGTTTTGGGGGTCGTCCCCAAAGCTTTAGCACAAGAGGACATCATTGGAAAAACAATTGGAGAGGAACTTCAGGTCTCCATAATGTCGGCTCGAATGAATACAATGTTTAACTATGCTGATACCTTCATTGCTTTACCAGGTGGTCTAGGCACATTGGAAGAGATATTTCATTTTTCCTCTTGGGCTCAACTCCACATTCACCATAAACCTATAGGTTTGTTAAATGTTAATGGTTATTATGATAAGTTGTTGTCTTTTCTTGATCATGCCGCGAAACAGGAATTTCTAACATCTTTTACACGATAAATCATAATCTCTACTGCTACTCTTGAACAATTGATTGACCAATTACAATATTTCATTCCTGTGATTGATCCTTCCATGAGTCCAATAAATTGGTCATCCAAGGAAAGCCATAAAAAGCTTAGATTGGATTTGAGCCTTCATTTGTGAATTTTTGTGTCTTTTGATTTTATTATTGTGTTTTGTTATTTTTTATTTTTATTTCAGTGTGTTTCAGGTTTGTCAGTGTTCGTTATTTGAGGTGATATCTTCTATACTCTATCTTTCTACCTTAGAACATTGAGGACAATGTCTCATTTTTGTTGGGAGGAGAGGGTAGTACTTGATAAAAAAAAATGTTTTTATTTCTTAAAGCATGTGCATAATTGTTGTTACTAGGATGACAAAGTAAAGGAGCTCTTTTGTTAATGCCTCTTGAGACGCATCTTAGTAACCATTCTTAACAAGGTCTATTATAATACTTCTTGAAATATTCTGGTTTACAAACTCTCGCAATGTTATCACTTAATTCTGCTTATATACTTATTTAACATGTATTCTTAAACCTTAATTTACACACACACACTTTAGCATATGATTGTGGGTTGCATATTGGATTATTACATTATTTATGTTTTTTTTGTTAAAGGTAACAACTAAGGGAAAGATATTGTATATAATTAAAAAAAAGAAGAAAAAAAAAGAAAAAAGAAAATAATAATAAAAATAAAAATGTAGATAAGTTTGGTTTCGTAGCCTCCTTAACCTAAACAATTAAGCCCGAAGGGGTGTTTTAACACCTAATACCCAAAAGTCAACTGACTTGAGAGTTATTGGCCCAACGCTTGTTGCATGGGTTGAGGAGAAAAGTTTAAGGGAATCAAATATTGCACTATCTATATATCAGTATCTGCAACCCGAGTTACTAAGCTCGTAGAGGTGTCTTAACACCTAATGCCCTAAAACCAACTGATCTGGGAGTCATTAGCTGAAAGCACGTTACATGGGTTAAAGATGCATGATGTTTTTAAATTATATGTATATACATTTAAAAAAAAAGGGGGAAAAAAGAAGAGAAGAAGACAAAAATAATAATCCCAACCTAACGAAGTTAACCTTAAACATTAGAACAAAAATTTTATTTTCTTCCAAGAAAAGCCCAATAATTATGTGTTGATACATTGAGCACAAAAGAAAGGTTTATTAATATCTTGTTAAGAGATATTGAGCAGATATATAACGTTTATTAATATCTTGTTAAGAGGTATTGAGCAGATATATAAATTTAATGAGAGTTTGTTTATCTGGATAGATTAATGGAAGTTAAATGATGAATACCTTGCTTTGTGGAATTTGCAAATTTGTTTTCTATTTTAACGCTTTGATTACTAAGGACTAGTAATAAGCTGGTTGGGGGGTGTGATTAGTACTTAAAAATGCGTTTTTATCATGGTTTTATATCATCATTTTGCACTTGAAGTATCAATAACTCCTTAACTAAAGCATGTTTTCTAGAAAAGCCATTTTCAAGTCCAAATTGTAGCAACAACAAAGAAGCTCGAATCTGTCCTCCAGCCCAAGCACTGTTCATTATGTTGGCTATATCTGGAGTTACAGAAGTCCAAATGAGCTGAATGTTTTACACAAGAAAGATGAGACAATTGCCTACAACTTTCATGTTTTTGAGTGGCTCCAATTTTGACGTTATCAATAACGTTTTGAGTAGACAAAAGAAGATAAGGATTGTCACCAAGTCAACAGTTGGTCACCCACTCATCAATTAGTCATCAAATCAATAGCTCCTAATTTTGGCTTATAAAAGGAGGCATTTGCCATACATTTAGGTATCTTGGTTTCCAGATCAAGATCATGCTTTTGCTTTCTCCTTTGTATTTTTTGTAATGTTTATGCTTTGCTTTCCTTAATATCAAGTTTATGCCTTTCAATTCCTTTCCTTTGCTTTGTTAACTCTTATCTTATTTATGTTCTTATTTTGTTTATTTATTTTTCGTTCTTTTATTATGTTTAGTTAAGTTTATAATGTCAAGGTGAAAACGTTACACTAATGGTGTAAGAATAAGTATAGTGTAAACTTAATATGGACTTTAATGTTTGATACTAACATGTTTTGTATTTGTTATCTTGTTCACTCTTTAATACTTTGCTTGTATTATAACCGATACCTGAGCTATGAAAGGAACTTGATTTGTTGTTAACATAAGTTATAATGGATTGCCCTTTATGTGTGGTTTCCAATTGAGTAATAATAGTTTATAATATATTTGTTTGACATACCATTAGTGGATCCTGTAACCTTTATATTTGTTGTTATCATTGTTTAATCCTTACTTTGATCTTCCATCTCAAAGTTCTTATCAACTTCTTCTTCTTCTTCTTCTTCTTCTTCTTTTTATTATTATTATTATTATTATTATTGTTGTTGTTGTTGTTGTTGTTGTTGTTGTTTATAATTATTATCTATAATTTATACAATTAACCTCCTTATAGTTCGACCCTGGTCTTGCTAAGTTATTTATTATTTAAACACTCCTGCACTTGAAAGAAGATATTAATCTTTTGATCTTATTAAATCATTTAGGTATTGTAGCAAGTGTGCGTGAACAACTCATACATGTTTGCTCTTATGCTAGTGGGTTGGTCTGATTAGGTCCAACTTAGCCCATATTGGTGGGCTAGACCTAGCCCCCCAAAAACAAATGTGAGTTAGATATGGGCTTTAGGCCCAGATAGCCCAAGTTGTGTTTATCAGGGGTGTGTTTGGCAAACATACCCTTATACCTTTGCTATATTTTTTTATGTCCATTCTAGTTTGATATATAGTAAAACGAGTCCTTTTTTATATCATAAAATTTCAAAAATATTTGGAAATCTTCTTTGATTTATTTGTGGGCTCCTTGCATTTTGTTTTATTTTTTTGCTTTGTATTTTGAATTTTTTCGATCATGTGCTCAATTTATGGACTAGTATCGTTAAACACAAAATTTGTTGCGCAATATCCCAGTTATTTCCATCTAATAAGGGAAAATAATAATAAAGGTTAAACAAGAAAAAAATAGCATAGAAAATTTCTTCTTTACATTAATGTTTTGTGAAATTATTCACTAGCGTTGGAGTTAGGAATATCGTATTTTTTAGATTTGTGTAATATTTACCAATACTAGAATTGAAAATATTCATAGAAATTGTTCACTGATACTAGAGTTAGGAACATGAAAAGAAAAAGAACAAATTCTTAGCAATTTTAGATGAAATCAGCAATGCAGCTTGCCTCAAGTAGGACACTTAAGAGATTACAACATCTTTCCTTTTGCGTAACCAGTCTCGTACTATAGAATCTTTGTTGACCAGTTAAGGTTTTTAGTGATCATAATACTAGGTGGTGACTCCTTAAACTAAACATTTTCCCCAAAGAACAAGATGTCAGATATTTGTTCTTTTTCCTTTTGAAAAATTAATTTTTAATCAGTTGTCGTGATGTCGAACGTAACTCTTATAATCATTCTCCTCATCTTCAGCCTCATCATCATTATCATTTTCCTCCTCATCTTCATCATCATCATCATCATCGTCATCCTCCTCCTCCTTATAATCACTCTCCTCATCTTCATCCTCATCCTCCTCCTCCTCCTCCTCCTCCTCCTCCTCCTCATCATCATCATCATCATCATTGTCCTCCTCATCCCAATCATCATCTTTATCATGTTCAACCTCATCCTCCTCCTCATCATCATTATCAACCTTTTTTAGAACCCATTTTTGTTCCTTTTCCTCACCCTCACAATAGTCCTCTTTGATGTCCTTCTTCATACCTTGTTTTCTTTTCTCTTCTTGCTCAGCCTTCTTGTCACTTTCATTATCCTCGTTATCCCCATCATCATTCTTCTCATCTTCAGCATCATCTTCATCATTATCATCCTTGTTCAGACCCCATTTTCTCTCTTTTTTCTCATCATAGTACTCTTTGATGTCCTTCTTCACACCTTGTTTTCTTTTCTCTTCTTGCTTAGCCTTCTTGTCTCCTTCATTGTCCTCATTATCCCTATTATCATTCTCCTCATCTCTAGCCTCATCTTCATTGTTATCATCATCATCCTTGTTCAGACCCCATTTTCTCTCCTTTTCCTCGTCCCCATCCTCATCATGGTACTCTTTGATGTCCTTCTTCACACCTTGTTTTCTTTTCTCTTCTTGCTTAGCCTTCTTGTCGCTTTCGTTGTCCTCATTCTCCCTATTATCATTCTCCTCATCACTAGCCTCATCATCATCAACATTATTGTTATCATCATCCTTCTTCAGACCCCATTTCCTTTCATTTTCTTCACCTTCATCCTCATCATGGTCCTCTTTGATGTCCTTCTTCACACCTTGTTTTCTTTTCTCTTCTTGCTCAGCCTTCTTATCGCTTTCATTATCCTCCTCATCCCTATCATTATTCTCCTCATCTTTAGCCTCATCCTCATCATCATTCTTCTTCAAGCCCCATTTACTTTCATTTTTCTCTTCCTCATCCTCTTCATGGTCCTCTTTGATGTCCCTCACACCTTGTTTTGTTTTCTCTTCTTCCTCAATCTCAACTTCATCCTTATCCTCGTCATCATTATCATTTTCATCATAATCTATACCATCCAACTCATCATCCTTGATAACCTCTCCAGTAAACCATGACATGGCATGTGGAATGATTTTGTCCCGAATAATAATACTATCATCCACAAAAAACTTGTCCAAATCAGAGAAAAAGAGAGATGCACAGAATGGACACAATGAAGTTCACAGAAAGAATGTGAGACTTACCCTACATTGTAGTCCTGTTCTATCCGGTCCTGAAGTTCATCATACTGTGAACACAAGAGTCTAAGACATCAGTTAACATTTCAACAGTTACATTGTTTTCCTTGTACATAACGAAGCAGAACTTACAGCATCATCATCTCGGTCATCCTCATTCTCAAGGATCCGAGGAGGAGTAAAGAATGTGAAGAAACTTTCACTCTTCTTAATTGTTGTGATGGTTTTGGCAATCTTTGACCCCATTCTTGGTTTCTTCTTCACAATCACCTTCGTCGTCAAGCATTTCCCAGGAAACCATTCAATTTCCGTTCTAAAAAATCAAATGAAACATTATAAGAAGAAAAATTAGAAAGGAAGAGATTAAGAACTCTCAGCACAACAACATTAATTTAATTAACTACCCAATTGCTTGACTCAAAATAGGATCAGATTCATCAATTATGTGATAAGTCTTTGTCAGGACAGAATTTTTGAAGTAAGGACAAGGGTTGAAGTAAAACTCCAGCTCGAAACCCTCAGGATTTTGAAGTCTCGACCACTTGATATCTTTTATGAACTTTAGGGCTCCTTCATCTTGTCCCTTAATCTATTGCAAGAATCAATTGATAAATCACATTACACAGTGATCAATCCAAAAGGAAGAAATTTATGTTGCATATGTTTGCACGCCTTGCATACCTCCTCTGCTAGTACTTCATGAGTTTTCATTGCAGTGAGCCAGAATTCAGGCACTCCTTTCTCTGCATTGAAGAATACTATACTCTTAAGTTCAACGTAAGGCATTGCTTTCAAATACTCCATGGATGTTTGCCAAAAACAAGATAGACAGTTAAAAATATACGCTAATACCTTCTATAGCTTGATCCACTTTTATGCTGTCTAATTTAGCAGACATAACCCCGTCAACTTCTTTTAGACCATTCACAATCTCATATCTCTGCGCCGAGAGCCCATCAAAAACTTAAATTAATTACAGAAATACGGAACAAAAATTGTAATGCATGCTACCTCTGATTCAACATTCACGTAACACATGCAGAAGTATTAATGCGAAGACAATACACACACCTTAGTGTATAGTGGTTGATAAAGCTTGTTGTATTTAGCTTCTAATGCCCTTCTCTCCTCAAGAAACTGTGCTTCCAGCTCATCATGTTGGCTCTGCAGAATACATCAATTCGCGTATGTAATTAAGTATGTCATGATCATCTATATATGTAATAAAACTTAACAAAAATATTGAAAACTGGGCTATAAAATAACACAAGCTTATGAAAACATAAACAGCACAATATTTCTTGTAGAAAGTAGATAGATACACCAACCTGAAGAAGTCTGAGACACTCCACGTGTTTGCTGACCTTGGGAGACGATGACACCTTCATGTTACTCACACGGGAATGTTTGGGGGATGGGGAAATAGAAATAGCCTAGAAAAGGAGGGAAAGTGAGTTTAGTTTTCTCTTGTGAGGGAAGGAGATGTCGATGTGAGCTTACAGGTTTTCATTTATAAGTTGAGATAGTGATGCGTTTCTTGTTGTCTTGACTTTGGTATCTATCTGATGCTGTTAAGGAGTTCGAGCATACAGCCCATTGGAATCGATTTCAAGTTTAACTGTCACTCTGGAGTTTAGAATAGATTTCCACTTTAAGTAAAGTATAGATAGGATTCTTTTATCTTGTTTGGTGTTGTGCATTGTTTCTTTTATCAATTCTACCTCAAAAAATGAGTAGATTATAAATTACTCCTTGTGGTTTATTGCAATGAATTAGTCCATCAATTATTAATTATGGTAAATTCCTTGTTCAGAAACAATCAATAGTTCAGTTTAGGGACTACCCAGTTTTTTTCCCACAGACTTGTACTAACACAGAAAAAAGACCACAGGCTGGTGATGATGGCATACAAGAAAACTCGAGTTCTCAGGTACAAGCCTCTCCTTTGTAACCAGGAAAAAGACACACTAGTTTGCTCAGGATTGCACTTTTCCTTTCAGTCTTCATCACTGCTGAAAAATCACTATCGATAAGCCCGTGACTTTTTGCTACCTTGTATAGTTCATTTGCAGCTGCTGCAATTGGAGTGGGTTGGGAAACAGATTCTGCTAATTCCAGGGCAAGTCTCATGCCCTGAAACCATTGACTTCATTTTTTAGATGACGCGTTGATTTAAATAGTGTCTGCAATTTAGAATATCTACAAACCTTCTGCTGATGCTTTAAGGGAAAAGCAGTGGGGTATAGAGATTTGACCATTGATGGACCTTTCAGCGAATACATCGGCGCACTAATGGCAACCTCAGACACTACCTGCAATTTCACCTATGTAAGAAGATTCCTAAGAGGCTTCAATTGATGCCTTCAAAAACAACAAAATAAAATAAAAAAGATAACAGCATTCTATATACTAGAGGCTTTTAGTTTTACCAACAAAGACAAGGAAGAAGAGTGCACGCTTCAAGCCAGAACACCTAACAAATGAGGTCCATTTTGGATGTGCTCTTCCATTAAGTGCTGTTATTGAACAAGGGTGAAACACCTTGATTCATTTTGACCAAGGAATTTTAGTTAAGCGTCATTCAGAAACTCTCTCTCTCGTACACAAACAAACGCAGACGAAGAAATAAAAGACTGAAAATCAACGAGTTTCTTCATTTATTTTGCAGAGAACGGCAGAGCAATGATTATCATTGTGCATGTACAAATGAGATAGAAAGAACAAGAATAATCCAACAAAAAGTAAACAAGAGTATGAATTCAGTTAATCTTCATGGGGTTTGATGACAAGTGACACAACATAATCTAACAAGATTTTCTCTGTTCACAAATACCTCAACCAGTACATTTGGGTCCAGTCCTACTTTCTCGCTGAGAAGCAATCCTTCAGAAAAGGTTGCCATCATACTGCAAATTGTTGAAAACACCAGGTGTCACTATATAATCCAGCACAGAAGCAAAACAGAAAACAATTGACAAAAGGAACTCGGTAGAATCTGCCCATGATCATGTTGACAATAAGTTTCATTGCAGCCCCATTTCCGACTTCCCAAAGGTAAAATCTTGACTGGATGTTATAACAAAATCAATGTGAACAAAATAGTGTAATTAGTTTCCAGGAGAAAAATAGGATACAGTACCTTCCCCATGATTTATGAATGGATTGGAATCTTAGGCTGGTCCAGTTATTTATTCTAATTAAAAGAAATTTAACAGATTGGGATCTTAGATTTAGATTTATAGAGTTGAAAACAAAGGCTAAGGTTCAAGTTAAAAGGCATCTCTAGATTGAGATTCGAGTTTAACTGAGCTAAAGATAACATTTTAATTTTCATTAAAGGGGATCGTCGTATGAGGTCTCAGGTTGATTGAGATGAAGACAAATACCAAGGTTTTGGTTAAAAGGAAATCATCAAATAAGAATTTCAGGTTATCCGATTTGTTTTTTAGATTTTGATTCAGATTAAAAGGGATCGATAGATTAGAATCTCAAAGTGATCGGATTATTAGTTATGGTTAAAGGGAATTACTAGATTGAGATTTTAGATTGACCAAGCTGAAGAGAAAGATTAAGGTTCTAGTTTAAAAGGGTCTCTAGGTTGACCAAGTTAACAAAGTAAAGGTAACATTTTAATTCTAGTTAAAGGGGATCGCCAGATAAAATCTCAGGTTGACTGAGTTGAGGATAAACATCAAAGTTCTAGTTAAAAAAAAAAGTCTCTATTTTGATATTTTATATTAACTGAGTTGAATGCAATATTTTGATTCTAATTAGAGGGGATCGCTAGATGCGATCTCAAGTTAACTGAGTTGGAGACAAAAACCAAGGTTTTAGTTAAAAGGGATCTTAAGATTGAGATTTCAAGTTAATCGAGCTGAAGGTAACTTTTTTATTTTAGTTAAAGGAAATCGCCAGATTGAATCTCATATTAATCGAGTTATTGGTTCTAGTTAATGCGAATCACCAAATTAGGATAGCAGGTTAGTCAAGATGTTTCATATTTTGATTCTAATTAAAAGGGATCATCATATAAGATCTCAAGTTGACCAAGTTATTGGTCCTAGTTAAAAGGAATCGCCATGTTGAGATTTCAATTTAGTCGAGTTATTTTATATTTTTGTTCTAGTTAAAGGGGATTATCAAATTAATATTTTAGGTTTACTAAATATGATGATGACAAATTGGGATTTCATGACAACCAAGATGTATATAGTTTGATCGTAGTTTTGGTTGAAAGAGATTGCTGAGGAAAAATAGTATATTGTTTGATCATAGTTTTGGTTGAAAGAGATTGCTGAGAAAAAACAGAGTTTAAGTAAACTGAACTAGATGCTTTGAGAAGGTTAGTTTTTGAAAAAAAATTTGTTTGTCTTTACAAATTTACTATACAAAGTACTTAACAAATTTTTGGTCTGTAAGTATTGTAAAGATAGGATATTTGTTATTACCCAATTTTTTATTATTTTTTTGAAAAAAATAGCAAAACAAAAGGCACAAACCCAAAAAATATGTATGTCTTTTCCAAATAATTTTTTTTTAAAAAAGAGAAAATGCATTTAAGTTTTAGTGATTTAATTATAATTGTGGAAGGGAGAGGATAAATTTGAAAATCCTCTTACCAAGCAACCCATTTTTTTAATCAAATGATCTACAATTATTCTCTTAGTCCAAATGTTCATTTTTCTTTGCTTTGCTTTCAAGTTATCAAATGAATGGTTGAAATTTATTCTTGAAATCTAATAATTAAGCTTCATTTGTTTTGTCTTGAAGCTAAAAAAATTCACTTATAAATAGATGGTTAAACATACACACAAAAAAGGTTCAAGTTTTTTAAAATACACAGCAAATCTTTCTTTCAAAAATAGAATTTTATTTTAAATTGTAAATGGCCAAGTTTTCTTAAAAAATAAAAAAATCATATCTTGTTTAAAAAATAAAATATTGTTAGCATACATTTTGAATTTAATAATCATTTTATTAAATCCCCGAGGAGTTGACCAATATTTCTATAACCAATAAAATTTTAATTCATGAGAATTAATAATCAGCATTCTAGTATAAATTTTGAACTAACAAGTAAATTGATATTTAAATATCAAAAGTTGAAAATAAAATTCTTAAAATTATCCTGAATATTCATCAAGTTTTATTGAAAATATTTTTTACCATAATACACGAGTGTTGGAACACTCCTCTAACTGTTAGAATAAATGAACCATAACAAGACACTTATATGGATCCTAAGCAATAAATAGACTACTAATTAAAAACTTATCAAAATCTTTAAATTATATTCAAATCATATAATGTAGCTTACTTTAAATAGTATATCAGGGTTATTAAAAAGTTTAATTTTAAATCAAGTTGTTTTTCTTGTTGTTGATTTTCTTTAATGACATTCAAAATATTGTGATAAACTACATAGTTTATATACGTGTGTGACATGTTTGATCGTTTATTTTTATATTTAGAGTAAGGTGTTATGTGGTAGCCTTAAAATCATTCACAAACAAGCTTTTCCATGGTTTTTTATATTAATTCTTTGTTGTGGATCTGTAAATCTTTCTAGAAAAAATATAGTTGTGATTTAAAATTCTTTTTAAATCTATGGAGTTTTTTGTGCAACTTAGATATATGTATGCTTTTGCTAGCACTAGCCTTTAGTTTTGTAGGAAAAAAAAGGGGGGAAAGAGATGCAGTATTTAAAAAAAAACCTTTCTCTTTTAAAACTTTGATTTATGCTTAATTAGATGATGTGCTGCCTATCTTATGAATTGGAACTTTGATTTCTTTCTTCTTTTTTTCTTGGAAAGCTTTGAATTTTGAAAGCATTGCCTCTTGGCGATCTCTACTTGTTTACGATGAAGGTTCGACTCATTTATATAGCGTTATGTGACCTATCGTTCAGTGTTGTCTTGGATCAAATGGTTCAATTGCTTTTCCTCATGGTTTTTTGCAATGGCTCTGCACATTCTTTAACTGATTCATAGCTATAAAATCCATTTTCTTTGCTTTTCATGCATATTTACTATTCCAGCAGCAACCTTAAGGTTCTAAAACAGAAAACAGAAAATACCTAGCTAACTATAATAAGATGTTTATATGCTCTTCTGTTTTTGGTAAGCAAAGAGCGTACATTTGGAACATGTTTTCAATGAGCTCAGCATTTTAAGTCACTGTTGCATATTTTTTTCGTCTTCAGCCTCATCTTAACTCTACAATGCTTTAGTCTATTTAGTCTTTCATTGATACAAAGAAATAATTTGTTTTCTATGGTAGCAACAATGAAAATGCAAGGAAGTTGCATAAACAATATATTTTTTTTTATCAAAATATAAATATATTAATAGATCAAAACTTTACAATACTGAAAACCAGTAAGTTCATATACTGTGATTTACAAAAATAAAGAATAAACTCCCTGGTAAAACTTTGTTGGTAGGAGAAACTACTAATGGTGGCTTTAAAACATTTAGAGGGGATAAAATACTTTTTATTTCAAGAACAAGAAGTTACAATAATTAAACAAAAGCTTAATACACACTCTCTCTCTTTCTCTCTTTCTTTCTAGTGTTTCTCTTAAATCTCTCCACACATAATAACATAAACTTAGCTACCTATTTATACACAAATTCAAAACAAGAA